ATTTTTCTTTTTTTAGAACGTGCAATATTATATATAAATTAACTCAAACACGTCATGTTACAATTATTTTGCTGCTTGCTACAAAAGGAAAACTTGCTCGGCTCTCATGTCAGGGGTACTTGAGTGAGTGACATGCAGGCTCTGCATGCACAGTAAACCACCAATCACAATAATTCTTGATCAGATCACAGCAGGCCCCGCCCCGCTAGTTTGCAGACCATCAAAACACCGGTAAAAAAATGTGCGAGGCACAGGAGGACAATACCGGCGAGAATGAAGATTTACTTGCACAAAGAAAAGCAACATCTGCCATCTGGAACTATTCTGGATACAAAAAGGTTCTTCTCTTCTTCATTCACAGATGAACCCCCTGATTTAAGGGTAAGCAACATGCATTATCATGACATGTTAGATCATGACTTAAGGTATGACGAGTCAACCAGTTAAGATCCAGACGTTCGTGACTAAAATCCTTCATCCGGTTAAATATAGTTAATAAAAACGCAATATATATCGCAGGGGGAAAAAATATGTCAGCTTTTTCCAATATCGTGCAGCCCTAATTTGAATCCAGATATACTTTCTGAGAATCAAGAATGGAATCACTCTTCTTTATATTTTAAATCAAGTTTTTTTTTTTTTCAATTTGTGTTCGAATTTAGGGCTCGGTATCAAATCTCAATACTTTTTAGTAGCAGTGATTGTTGAAAAATGGTACCGCCAGATATGTCCAAATAGTAGACGTATATCATTATTTGATCAGATAGTTCCTAAATTCAAATTGAATATTATGTCAGTTGTAAAAAAATGTAATAGGGAAAAGACGATGTAGTGTTGCTCTTGTTTAGACACCATTTAGATGATCGCATTTTGTTTGTCATTTTGCAACTGAAATGCCAATATCATGTTGGCACCATTTCGAAACATTAAGTCTGGTGTGTTTCCAAAAATATTTCCTTTTTTTTCTGAAGCCTTCATCCATTGTAGGTTTTACTAAGTGAATCTTACATGTAAGGAAGGAGCTGGCTGATATTAAAAAATACCTAATTGAGCAGTTAAAGTCCTAAGTACTTATTGTAGCTACAGAGTTTTCTTCAAGGTTCCTGTCAGAATAGATTTGTTCTATAACTGCGGATGTGTTTATGTTGCCTCTGTTTCAGGAGGGAGACCGGCGGATGAAGATGCAGAACATGGTGAAGTTCCCTCTGATGGGAATGGACATGGCACCTCACATGGTGAAGAGGAGCCAGAGCAGCTGGAGTTTACCTTCCCATTGGTCGCCATGGAGACGCCCATATGGCCTTGGCAGAAACCCCGATGACTACCTGTACGACCTGTACGCTGTGTGCAACCACCACGGGAACATGCATGGAGGACATTACACAGGTAACGCTATAAACACTTGTTCTAGTTCAAAGGTAGTATTTGAGGGTTGGACTCCTTCACCCATTCTTTGATTTGCACTCACAGCGTACTGTAAGAACTCCATTGATGGTCAGTGGTACTGCTTTGATGACAGCGAGGTTTCCCCAGTACCTGACGAAGACGTGTGTCAGCAGACGGCCTACATACTGTTCTACCAGCGGAGGACTGTCATTCCCTCCTGGTCGGCCAACAGCTCTGTTGCTGGTCAGTTTTTATGTCCTACTTTCTGTCTGATATCTGCTGTGTAGTAAAATAATTCCCCAAATGGACAGTCAAAAATGGGTCAGTTTTTAGCTGATCGGCCAAGATCAGTCTAAATCTTTTTGTGCAGCAGAAGGATTTCACGTCGCACACACTTCTGCAAAGAAAGCATTACAACATCACAAACATGTTGTTGGTATATAATATCTCCAGCTTGAGTGAAAAAGACACAGGGCTCACCGTTTTCTTACCCCTGCAAGTCCTAATGAAGCCGGGAAGGAGCAAACTTAAAAGCAAGGTTTTGACGACGAGAAGTTCGAAACTGTTTTATTACAATATTTGCATGAATATAGCCACAAAAGATATACCACAGAAACACCACTTTGACAGAAGTTACCAATGAACCAATGTAAACACATTGATTACTTTTTATAAGCTGTTATGATTTGTATTGGCATTAATCTACTACACACACTGTACAGTTCACTTTTTATTTTGGGAAAATAATAAAAAAAGATATGCCTTTTTGTGGCTCTGAAATGTTAAAGGTAACTAGAGTGTTCTTCTGCGGTTTGTGCAGGCTCCACCAGCTCCTCCCTGTGTGATCACTGGATCAACAGGTTACCTGGCAGCCGGCCGGCCAGCCTGGCCTCCGGAGCCTCGTCCAGACGCACCTCTCTGGCCTCACTGGCTGAGTCTGTGGAGTTCCCCGTGGAACGCAATGAAGATGATGGTGAGTTATTGCTTATATTGGTTTTTTAAATATATTTGATTTTGCAGGTGTCAGGTATAACCTACACATGAAGTGCTGCTGTCTCCTGACACATATTGAACACTTCAGAGTTCTAACAAACACACAGTTCAGTTAGCTTTAGATTTTCATACTGCAACACCATGTCCATCCACCCAACAGACAAAACTGGACACTTTTTAAATTCAGGAAACCAAAACCATTATAATACAGATTGCATCTGGCAAAATATCAGTTATAGGAAACGGTTTGAAAGAGACTGCTCTGCTTTCACTATGTATACCTTATTAAAATTTCAACAGAAAAACTCTGTAAATAGTCCAACACTAAATAATCAAAAGATACATTTATTTTAGAACTCCTCTTTAGAGTCAGGAACTCCAGCACATAAGCCAACAAATCCAAACACCAAAATGGAGGAAGATTGCAGGAAAAAGCTAAAAGTGAATCCAAATGTGTCATAATTGACAGAAACATGCAATAACACATTTGACTGAGCTCCATACAGTGGAGAAATAAAGATGTTGGCTTTGCTGCTGTGTGTGGTTAATATAAATGTACTCTCACTTTAATCCTCCAGAATACAGCCTCAGCAAAGTCTCCAGAAACGGATGGCCAGGCAAACTGATATTTAACTACATCTTTCTCACAACCCATTATGCATATATGCATCGTATACAAATGGTGTTGTCAATTGGATGAATTGAGTGTTTTTATCAGTAAATGAAATCGAGTTAAGCTTTTCTAAACCCAGAAAACCCTGCTATTTTGATTTTAGGAGGATTCTCTATCCGCCCCTTTGTGCGGAGCATTCAGCGCCAGAGCCTGTCCTCTAGGTCTTCCATTGCTAGCCCTTTAGCCTTCAGCGACAGCGGGGTGAAGCCTTCCTGGTCTCTGGCTTCGAAGCTGCAAATGAGATCCAACTCGCCCTCCCGTTTCTCCCTCGACTCTCGATGTTCCCCTCCTCTAGAGAGGATCGGAGAGGCATGTGATGACAAAGTCTCCACGTCCTGTTTTGGCAGCTACAGCAGACACGAGCGCTACTTTGGCAGCAGGTCTCCCCTCTCTATGATGGAGAGCAACTTCAACGACCAGGACAACAACAAGAGGTTCATCGACATGGTGTACTGCAGGGCTCCCACTCCAGTGGAGAAGAAGAGCACCAACAATGAGGCAACTGAAAATAACAACCAGATTTCAGCTGTAGACCAAAACGTTCTTCCCGCCCAAGCTACTCCCTCCAAAGAACAGAAACGTAAGAGCAGTATCGGGGGATTTGCCTCAAAGGCGGAAAGCACAGGCTCAACGAAGTCTTCCAACAAAGTAGAGCAAGAGAAAACCTCCAAAAAGCGTTTGTGCTCGATCCATAAGGCCACCGCTGCTGAGACGTCTACCAGCACTCCTGTGAAAGGCAAAAAGTTAAGCAATACTAAAGAAAAAACTGTAAGTGCCAAGAAAAGCATCTCGACGCCCTCTGGGACTCCCTCCAAAACAAAGGTGGCGACTCAGCCTCTCGACGCAACGCCGCAGCGTAAGCCATCAGTCCGCTCCACTCCTCAGTCCTCCGCTTCTCCCTCGCCAACGGCAAAGAAGAATTCCAACCTCACAGAGAACAGCTGTAGCCGGAAAAGGCTTGTAGAGAGGAGCTTCAGCAGGGACTCGATGCACACCAGTCCTCTGGTGGACAGTCTCCGAGACAGCTTGGCAAGCCGCTCCTCCTTCTCTAAGAGCGGGGAAAGTAATAGGCCCGAGAGGAGATCCGTGCGGAGCTCCAGCAGCAGCTCCTCCGTCACCAGCTTACGCTCCCCCAGCGTATCCGCCAGAGACCTGCAGCGCAGCAGCAAATCTGAGGAAAAGGGCCTGTCGTTCTTAAGGAGCGCCCTCCGACAAAGGGAAAGCCGCCGGTCGGCTGATCTGGGGAAAAGCACCCTGGTCGCTAAGAAGGCCTCAGAGAGGACGTGCAAGCAGAACGGACAAGCTAAGGATGGCGGTGGAGACGCAGGAAAGAAGGGCGACGCCGTGTCTCCACAGGCGCCTACTGAGAACAAGTCGGACACAAAGGAGTCTTTCAGGCCCCCCAGCTCTCTCAGTCGCTCTCTATTAAACGTCGGCAAGTCCAAGTCTTCCACTTCTGAAGTAAGTCTCAAGTCTCCCGCTAACGGGAAGAAACCTCTGGAAAGGATGGCATCTTCCCGCAAGCTGTCGTCGAGCACGCAATCTCCTGCACGTACAACAAAGAGGCCTCAATGATACATTCGTAGTTTGAAACGAACATGATGCAGCTATTTTCTTTGTGCCTGAGTTAAACTGAGCACCACATGTATTTGTAAAGAGACACTTTTTTGATGTTATGCTTCTGCACTCTGACATCAAATACTAGCTTTGAGGTTTGAGTACTGGCAGTCAGCTGTAGTGGAAAAAAAGAAAGTACTGTCAATCATCTGCATATTCAGATGCCAAACAGTTGCTTGGCATGCCACCAGTTCTAGTTTAAGGCTGTGCGTATCCTTATCAATTACACTTTTTGAGCATTAGGTAGGGTTTTCATGCGAGTTAGACAATCTGTCGACGTGTAAGAGCTTTTTCTGGCAAGGCAGGCACATGAGCATGCAATACGCATTCAGCTGTGCACCACTTCCTTTTTGGTTGTACTGGAGGCTTATATGACAGCTGTCAGAATTGCCTTTTGGAATCCAATTATATTCCCTTCAGACAAGAGGCGTGTTATCTCTTTGAAATGCGGCAAACATTAAGTTTAGTTTGCTTGCAAAATATCCTGCTGACAAAGTCGAAGGATTTAAAACGCAGCAGCTTGTGCATTAAGAGAAGTGAATGGAGTAAGAAGCTTTTTCACCTTGTATGCACCAACGATATGCTGTCTTGTAGGACAACGTTCTTTAGATTCAGATGGAAATAAGATGGCTGTTGATGCTTAAACCTCACCGCTCTGATTTCTAAGCATTTAATACATAGAAAGCAGAAGCATAACATCAGAGATCATCTCCGGACAAATTCTGAGTGATGCTCTCTCACACACACATACACACACACACATACACACACATACACACACACACACACACACACACACACACACACACACACACACACACACACACACACACACACACACACACACACACACACACACACACATACACACACACACACACACACACGGTTTCATTCCCAAATAATAGTGAATAAGCATTTAGTATTTGTCACTAGATGTGTTATGCTGATGGAAGCTAAAAGAAGAAAAAGCATTAGCATACTGTTGGTACTAATAAGTAATTTCATGATTTAAGACGGTTGAGAATAATTAAAAAACTTTTTACATTATGAACCATAAAAGAATATAGAAATACTGAGGTGATGGCAGGCCCCGGACCAAACAGAAAAATGATTTGAGACGATAAAGAATTAGGAACGGTACAAACTTTAAAAAAAGTCTTCCAATATTTTAAAACTTTATTTTTCTTTAATACTTTTTTTGATAGAAATGTATTTTATCAAAACTTATCGGAGTTAACTCCTCAAAGGGATGGTGTGTTTGGAATGAAATCCTTTTAAAAAGTATATAAATGTACAGATATTGACAAAGTATATAGTATATAATAACCCGTTTCTTCCCTTTCCATGAGCAAGATGAATAAGCGCCTTTCAATACTGTACATGGAAACAAATGTAGCCTTTGGGAACATAGTAGTCTACTACTACTGTATGCATCACTCAGTAGGAATGTTGTTTTATCGCACTTTGTATAGAAAGGTAATTTTCCTTTACCTAATACAGTTCTATATACACACACACACTAGGGCTGCTCAATGAATCGTATTTTAATCGTATTTTAATCGCGATTATGATTATGGCTTGCAACAATTACGAAAACAACGTAATCAAAATAAAACGATTATTTTTTTATTATTATTACTTCTTTTTTTTAATAATTGTTGTTGTTTTTCAGTTGAATTATACTTAAAGTTCAGGGTGATAAACTGTTAAAAACCTACTGTTCACATTTTTTTTCACCAATTACTGGATGTTTTTAAAGTCAATGAATTATCGCATTTAATAATCGCAATTACAATTATTGACCCAAATAATCGAGATTATGATTTTTGCCATAATTGAGCAGCCCTCACACACACACACACACACAGACAGACACAGACAGACAGACAGACAGACAGACAGACAGACAGACGTCTCTAACTTAATGTACTTATCTTAATATGTTCTTATGATTTTCAAGACATATCGTACAGTAGTGTTGAATGGTTAAGGTTCATTCATCTCGATGTTCAGGGGTCACTTTACTCCACCTGGTGCTGTAGCAGACCGATGCTCCTCTGGATCTGATGTTTCTTAAAGAGCATCTTTTAAAAAAAAATGCTGATGTTCAGAACTGTGACAACACACACTACAGTGAGCCAGAAACCTGTGGCACCACTTATCATAACCTGTGGTACCTCATTGGAGAATGTCATCTTTTTCTTCATCAGGCTGAACCAGAGTATTGAGCAATTTAATTTCTATTGGCGCTGATCAATTTATCAACTATCAGACACTGCACGGTACATTTATCTTGCAGTAAAATGATAGAAACAGCAGCTGCCATGACGTTTTGAACACTCAGCATTATCATCGTAGCATTACCCCACATGCAAATGCAATATTCATACATTAGACACCAGCATAGTGTATGTTCTAAACGAATTAATGTGGTTATGCCGTTAAAATCTAACCATTAGTAGGTTATACTTTAAATATTTAACATAAGCTTGTACTTATAGATCTACATATTTCTCTCAACTTTTTCTCTGTAGCACCTAAAAGGTTTACATTGGTTCTCAGATGGTTTCAGAGGAAATACCACTCAGTTGAAATGCGCATGTGTGTTATTTAAATGGCCTGTGCAAATCAGTAGCCTTGATGAGACTCCATCTGAAATGTTGTGACATTAATATTGGTCAGGGGTAAGAGTTTGAGAGCAGTTTTTTTATATTTTTTTATGTCTCATGATATCAAAATTAGCTGTAATTCAACAAAAATGCAAGTTAAATGCTACCAAACATAGCAAAAATGGTTATGTGTAATTCAATTTACAACAAGATCTCCATCGAAGCACTTTTATCCTAACATTACATACTATCTTGGTCATTTAAACACAGCAAAAAATGTAAAATTCAGATCCAGTCGAATAACATTCTGTACGATCATTTAAATGTCCTACCTTAACAACAAAAATGTAACAGTGGCTACTGTGTTCAAACTGTTCGGGCCATGGAGATAACACTGCTGTTTCACTGTGCTGGTTTTCCTGTAGCTGCTCTTTTTCTACTTAACATTGTAATCTATCAGGAACCTGTGCATGGCACTTTGGATCAAAGCAGGACACTTTACCGTCATTCTGGCTTTCACCGTTTTGTTTGCCTGTTTAAAAGTCTGTAATTAAGTAGGGTGCATTTCAGAAATTGGATCATGCCCTTACACTTTGTTCTTCACTCGACATTCATACTGTATATTGCTTGTAATCTATATTTAGATAGGGGCCCCCAACTTTTATGTACAAAACTCTTATTGCTGCACCCTGTTCCCTTTTTTTCCCACCTTTCTTTATTCAAGAGAACAATCCTATGTCCCTAGTATCACTTCATTTTTGTATTATGTCACAGGAATTATTTGTCATAAAGTGACAAACATGAAACTTTGTTATCAGTTGCTTCCAATCCAGAAAAAAAGCTTGTATTGTTGTTTTTTCATTTCACTGGTAGTAGTAGTAGAGCAATAATCCGATAATCATCATTCAGACTAAGAAAACCGAGGTTTGATGTACCAAAAGATGCAACATGGCTGACTCTCGATAAAAGCCATTGAAAACTAGACAAGTACTGTACTTCATACGAGAAGTATATACAGTGGGGCAAAAAAAGTATTTAGTCAGCCACCAATTGTGCAAGTTCTCCCACTTAAAAAGATGAGAGAGGCCTGTAATTTTCATCCTAGGTATACCTCAACTATGAGAGACAAAATGAGAAGAAAAAAAATCCAGAAAATCACATCTGATTTTTAAAGAATTTATTTGCAAATTATGGTGGAAAATAAGTATTTGGTCAATAACAAAAGTTCATCTCAATACTTTCTTATATACCCTTTCTTGGCAATGACAGAGGTCATTGCCAAGGTTCTTTGGATGCAACTCAGCATTCTTTCTCCTCCAAACACGTCTAGTTGAGTTTTTACCAAAAATTTATATTTTGGTTTCATCTGACCATATGACATTCTCCCAAGCCTCTTCTGGATCATCTAAATGCTCTCTAGCAAACTTCAGACGGGCCTGGACATGTACTGGCTTAAGCAGGGGGACACGTCTGGCACTGCAGGATTTGAGTCCCTGGCGGCGTAGTGTGTTGCTGATGGTAGCCTTTGTTACTTTGGTCCCAGCTCTCTGCAGGTCATTGACTAGGTCCCCCTGTGTGGTTCTGGGATTTTTGCTCACCGTTCTTGTGATCATTTTGACCCCACAGGGTGAGATCTTGCGTGGAGCCCCAGATCGAGGGAGATTATCAGTGGTCTTGTATGTCTTCCATTTTCGAATAATTTCTCCCACAGTTGATTTCTTCACACCAAGCTGCTTACCTATTGCAGATTCAGTCTTCCCAGCCTGGTGCAGGTCTACAATTTTGTTTCTGGTGTCCTTTGACAGCTCTTTGGTCTTGGCCATAGTGGAGTCTGGAGTGTGGAGTGTGACTGTTTGAGGTTGTGGACAGGTGTCTTTTATACTGATAACAAGTTCAAACAGGTGCCATTAATACAGTTAACAAGTGGAGGACTTGCTCTTAAAGAAGAAGTTACAGGTCTGTGAGAGTCAGAAATCTTGTTTGTTTGTAGGTGACCAAATTTCCACCATAATTTGCAAATAAATTCTTTAAAAATCAGACAATGTGATTTTCTGGATTTTTTTTTTTTCTCATTTTGTCTCTCATAGTTGAGGTATACCTAGGATGAAAATTACAGGCCTCTGTCATCTTTTTAAGTGGGAGAACTTGCACAATTGGTGGCCGACTAAATACTTTTTTGCCCACTGTATATACATCTCCAATCAATCTAAACACATAGGCCTACTTGCTGAAAACGGGATTTAAAAAAAAATCCACATCTTCACAGAGAATATTTTCATCTCATTTTCCTCACTGCAGATATTGTCTGTGTTTTGTTTTTTTGTACAGAATTGCGAAAGATAAAGGAATGCAGTATTGCATGAAAACGCTAGTGCATGTATTTCATTAACTATGCAAGAGTCTGCAGCTGTTTAAAGTGCAGAGCATGGCCGGTATATTCCATTGCTTTATTTGCACACCATTCCAATATTTAGAAATTGTAAATGACAGAATATTTCATCTGTACAGTTAAAAAGATTCAACATCTATATCCTTTCTTTACCCATTCCACCATATTAATGTTTATATATTTTTACGCAGTATTTTATTTTGTAATTCTGCTGATCTGTGCTCTCTGGGTGCTCCTACCGAGCGGGTAGGTTACAGCCTTTTTTATGTTGACAAGATGTTAAATAATTCCTGTTGTACACCAGCAGAGACAACACTATGGATGCGATCATCTCTATGTGGTGACTAAATAGCCTCATGTATGTATTGTGAAATAGCCTTCCATTGATTCAGCGATAACGGTGTATGAACCCCTGTTGAAATGTTCTCAGCTGATCAAGATGTGGCCAGTCTCTAATATAAATGCAACTCAAATATATATATATATATATATAGCTAAATGCAATAAAGATAGTCCATTTGTAGTTTTATATTGCAGTATGTAATGAACAATGACATTAAAATGATTGGTTAATACTTTTTATAGTATTAATGTCAAGTCAATCATTGCAATCATGATGTGATTTTTATTATTTTTTGTATTTAAAACAGGCAGTTTATCAGCAAACAAACAGCATCCAAACATGCATTGAAGCAGCTCCACTATTTATTTCTGATGACTGGTTAAAATGCATAAAGCAGAAGTTAATTAAGATTACAGATTCCTGCATTGAGCATGTTGTGACACGGCTGTCATAAA